CCTCGACCGGTTTCGCCCTCCGCGCGGCTCATCAGGTAGACACGCAGTTTCTGAGTTTCCGTCAAAGAGAGATCCAGTTGTGGCTCCCGTGAAAACCAAAATGATATGCGAATGAGTGTATTTATCGAAATCAGTTCAACTCGGGTTCAATTGGAACATAAGGTCGACGGAATCGTGGTCTATGCCTAGCTGATGGGACCCAAGAAGGGTGAAACCGGTGGGCTTTGTCGAACAGTACTCAGCAAGTTGTATTCCCCTAAGCAAGTACCATTAGTCAAGACGCACGTTTCAGTAGGCATGGTGAAAAGATTGAGTGCAAATCGGCCAACGGATCTACGATTAATTCTGCCAATGTTTTACTGAATAGGAGTCAATCAATCCTGAAAAGTTGACAAGCAATGCTTCATCGTTGGTTGGCAGTGCACGCCTGACGAAACTTGGAGAATTTCGAACACGGAAACTTCCGGCTGGTGGCTGAGAACTAAAACGTTCGACCACGAACGGATGAAAAGTTGTGAGATTAGCTGTCAATTGGCGCCAATCATTCTTCAATTACAGAAACCGCATCACGTGGTCCCAGTCACATGACTAGTTCCTCGAATGAGGACGTCTCAGATGAAAATCTCGATCATATTGTGAAATTATCCTTCATCGGCGACACTACTTACAGATCGATGGTATAGTGAGGGGAATTTGGAATTTTCAAAGGAGGTTTCGTTCTTACAGCCAAGATAATCTATGCTAATCAGCCAGTCGAGATGGCGCATTTACCGACCGGACGGTCCATGGTTCGAACCCGAGATCTGCCTCTCGACTTCCCCCCTGTACAGGATTGGGCAACCTTGGGCAGTAGCCCAGCCGTCTTTCTTGCTTCAGGCGGCATGGCAGCTAGTCACCGACAGGGTGTTACAGCTGAACGGTGATCGTTTTAACTAAGGGTTCAATCACTGACCAGAAGACTGTCGGTTCAAAATAGCTGTCAGCATAGACTGGATTCAGTGACACGATGAAATCTCCATTGAGTAACTGATATTCCATCTTAGCACTTTGGTGGAGGACGATAGAACATCTTGCAGATTGCCTTACGTTTTTAACTCGGACCGAGTACCGCAGGCTCAAGTCCGATACCACTATTTCCGTGGTCGTATTGAATGTAAACGAACGATCCCGCCCAATTTTCAGACAAACTTATTCATGAGCCTACGCACTGACCCAATCAAGCATGCTTCCAAGCCTGACAGCACACTGGGAGACCCTCCTATTGTGTCCGCCTCGAACCTTTCTTTATTTCAGTTTTTCTTGATCTGGTTCAGCAGGAAACCAGAGCTGGGATCCACCTTGATCGCACACATTTACCAACTCTTCTGTTTTCCACTGCTACAAGTTCCAACTGACTTTTCCAAAAAACTAATCAATCCTCAACTGAAACTGGTCAAAAGGTTTCTGAAGACCTTTCAACAGCCTACGACCCGTTTCACGCTTCCACTTTGGCTCCATCAGATAGGTGGGTCCCCATGTTTGTGTAAATCTTACGTTCCGGTTGAACCCAAATTGTACGACATTCGCTTAATACATCGATGAAATAATGAGATGAACGCTGCAGGGTCTCCAAAACCCTGTGAAGAAAACTTTGTCGATCTGGAGTATGCAGACGACATCGTCCCAACGTTCGAAGAGGAGGGGAAGGCGCAGGTGTTTTTGGATGAACCGACCAAAGTCATCCTCTCCTGTGGTATGCACCTTGAAATTGGTAAGGTCATGCTCGTGTACGTCACTGAACACGCCACTTACGATCCAGGGAGAGGCACTGGAAGTTGTGGAGCGTTTTACGTATCTTGGAAGTTGTATTAGTTCTGATTGTAGTGTGACAGATGAGGTGAATGCACGAATCTGCAAGGCTCGGGCCGCGTTTGCTAACTTGAGACACCTATGGCGTCAGAATGGTTTATCCCTGAATCTGAAGGGACGTGTGTATCAAGCTACAGTACGGGCTGTTTTGTTGTATGGCTGTGAGACTTGGCCTATTCGAGCAGCGGACCTGAGACGTCTTCAGGTGTTCGACAATCGTTGTCTCAGAACCATAGCTCGTGTGGGTTGGTGTCAGCGAATCCGTAACGAGGCAGTTAGAAAGCGTGTTTTCGGTTGTGTAACGGGTACTTCCATTGAAGAATGTGTCCAGCACCAGAAGCTGCGTTGGTTGGGACATGTTTTACGCATGCCGAACCATCGTTTGCCGAAGAGAGTACTGTTTTCCATGCCCAATTCGGAGTGGCGTAAACAGAGAGGTGGCCAACCCATGACCTGGCAGAGGAGTATGAAGGAGATCACGAAACGCTTGGGTGCTGTCGGTGCTACTCGCCTTCCAGGATGGGGATCGCGTGATCCTCACTGTGCCTGGTTGGAGACACTACACTATATGGTTGCCAATCGATGTCAGTGGCGTTCTTGTTGTCAGTTTCTATCCAGATCGCCTGAGTGAATGTTTGGAGGTGTAGGTGCCTCGGAATGATTGTGGTAAGCTAGCACTAAGTCCCTTCCCCGTCCATCTTTACTCTTTTCTTTACAATAAGGCTTTCAATTAAATCATGGTTGTACGGCGGTGAAGCATCGGTGTTGAACACTGATGTCATGCTGCCATTGATGATGATGATGACCACTTTGTTCAGTTCAGGAGACTCAACTGAATCCCATCTTGTGATGTCCAGCTGAATGTACTGCACAAAGGCCTCGTCATAGTTCATTAGGCACGACAAACGCGATATCTCAGTACATTTTCCGTTCAACAGTCCCCACCAGTTTCAGTCTTCCCGTTCGAGTTCATCAGGTAGACGTAGTCCCCAGATGTTCTTCAGTGTTGAGAGAGATTCACGTGGCATTCATTTGGATCCCCGTTAGTCGTGTCGTCTTCTAATGTCGTTCTTCCAAACTCAAGGAAGAAGGCCTTCGCTGCGGAGTTATCTATAGAAAAATGCCAACCGACAGGTTACAGACTATTAGACAGGGAAGCAAAACTCTCATTTGCATCTTATTTGCAAAAACTGGACATCCATATTCTCCTGAATGCATCTTCTTGAACTTTCCTGGAAATTCATTGACCCCAATCATTCATCACTCAAATCCGAGCAAAGATTAAATAGCGACTCCACAAATTACGCAACAAGTCTCCCCTTTTAAGGAGACGCAAAGCGAAATTCCAAGAACAACACATACTACTGGCATGCCACATATAGATTCGTCAATCAGTTCTATATCACTCCAGTTATCTTTCTTATGGAGGTTTCGTCGTGTAGGTAAAGCCAATCTATTCAAGCAGTGTAAACCTTTGTCACCCTCATTGGTAATCATCAGCAATATGTATGTACCTCACGAAACTCCAGGTAGTTTCCAACCCGAAACCTCTAGTCTTCCAGTTTGAACATTTGGTCTTTGGGCCACGAGCTACTGCTCACAACTGTGACCAACTCGCACTTGGACAGGATACAGGGCCTTCACACATGGGATCCACATTACATATAGTGACGACTTCTTGGATGGAAGGTTTGTCATGGGTTCGAGACTGCCTGAAGTTTCGTGTGATCCGCGCTGCCCCCGATTCCCACCGAGTGCTTCGCGACTTTTCAGCATAGATTGGCTCTACTCACAGAACGAGGTCTTTCTCAAAAATTACGAACGCCTACGTTCTTGTTCCCATTTCAAACCCCACACTTACTAGTCCATGTTTTCTCTTTGTGTAACATTGTCACGAATTTGAAAAACCAGCCTACCCTCTTGGAAATACTGCGCTTGAGCAACGATACCAATGGACATCATGAGACTTGCACCATTCGGTTCGACGGTGTGCTTTAGATCTCCACCTGTTCTGCGACTCCGTACCCGTTATTCGCTTTACGCCAAACACCTACCCGCTGCTAGTCGAGTAGACTGTGTGTGTCACCTACCCATTTACCCACCTGTTGGGCCTAACTCATTCTCTCGTGATCTCCGTGTCACCACAGCGCCAATCAGAGTCACGAGAGTGGCTTCGGAAGGGAACATCGGCGCCGTCTCGTGCCTGTCAGTGACCGATTCGCGCCATGAATGTGGACAACTCACGTTTTTTCGTTCAATTTTGCCTCCTGCTGTACAAACAGCACAACAACTCCGAATGTCCGACGAGCAGTTGAAGCCATCTGGAATGGTTCAATGTGGGTATCCAGTCCAAAGTGTCCGACACGGTGTCTTTCCAACCAGTTGACCAACTCTCATCCATACCTTTACTGGTTGCCCACTAAATCGCTAAAAGTACACACCACACGTGTCCCATAATCACGTATTTGTTTTATGCTCTTACCCACTGAACTCAGTCACGTGATTCGGATAAAGGCTAAAAATAGCATTCCAAAAATAGAATGCTGAATTATCGCGGAAACGGGAAATCCCACTGGTTTGTTGTTCCGAAAATACTGGTTTCCACACTTCCTACCAGTGAGCTACGTCGATCAGCTATTTCATCCCCGAACCACATCCGGATGTGCGTATCAATGCGCCGAAGAGTTCCTACTGCCGATCCGCTGGATTTGTTTGGTCCTAGGAATCAGCAAGTAAGGAAAAGGTCATGTTGCAACATTTTATCAAAAAGACACCGTTGTTTTTTAGACAGAGAGGGCCAAATTCGATCGTTTATTAGTTATTTCATGAGATAAACAGTCACTGAGGAGAACGATAGCTCGAACCCTTAGGCGAATGAGGACTGCCGCTTCAATTCCTCAACAATCGAGCTTTTAATTCGGTAGGACAGCACTTAGTACACCAACCCCCCCCCCAACCAAATATATTGTCGTAACACTCACAAACCTACGAAGACAAACGAAATCTACTCACCAAATGAAGCACCTTGAAATGGTAGATTAAGAAACCAAACGAGATTGGAACTGATTTGAAACCCACCAACCATCAACACAACATTTTCGCGACTACATTGACCGACAAGAGCCGTTAATTGATCTCTAGTGCCTTACTGACTGGTTCTCCGTCTGCCTTAAAACCCAAACAGCTTAATAACCTGCTCATTTGTGTCAAAAGCGAAAAGTTATTAGCCTATCAACATTCAGAATTTGAACAGCAGCCATAGGACCCAAATGATTCGGAGGATGTCCTGGCATTGCTCGTACGATGAGCCAATGGTACCGCTTCCCCAAATCAAGCGAACCGGTTAAAGCGCGTGACCGGGCTGTCAATCCATACCAACCACCAATCAGAACACGCCGTACCATAGGTCGTGTAAGTGTGCGCAGTTTACGCCCACACATGCAGCTCCGTCTGTGGTTGGTCAAACGGTTCATGGACTTATGCTCCGTTGTGCTGTCAACAGAACATGTGAGGGAAAGCTGAGGTTGGAATTCAGGCGTACTACAAACGTATATCAGACATGAGTTATGCTTACCTTCGCAAACCATTCCGGTAGTCCCAAGTATGCCCCAAAGTAGGTCGGAACAATGATGACAGGTTGCAGGTTTGTGCAAGTTCTTTTTCACAAATGAATGTCCTTGAAAGGAGTCTTTCACCAGTGGCCCGCTTCTGAGTTGTGAGAGAGAACGCACGAGACGGTGGACGGGTTCAGAAAGTGGTTTCAATAGGTTTGGATATAAGCTTGTAACACACGGTAAACAAAGGTATGTCTTTCAAGTACGGTGGAAAAGTTCACTTGGAATCCCTTCACAATGCGAACTAACATCCAGGAATTCAAATGTCAGGTGGCAGCTTCAGTTTCGAGAAAACCCACCAACAGAGAGAGATTCCCTCCACTCGTGCAACTAGCAAAAGTACATAGTACTCAAATGCAAGCAAATGCTACAAAGCGACTCCAAAAATTCCGTAATAAATCTCACTTTTCAAGAGACACGAAGCGGATTCACGAGAATACATACCACTCGCATGCCCTGTCAATAGTATCCACCGTTACACTGGAATTCAGAGTGTATGGGGAATTTTTCCCAAGTAAGCTGCATGAACGCTGTAACAGTGAATTAGTGATCCATCGTGAGCGGTTGTTGCCACTATGTATTTGCAATTTACCACGTCGGTCGTGTAAGAAGATCCTGAAATGTATAGCAGAGATTGCATCCTTTAGTTGAGACCAACCTATCTCTGAGGGAGCCTCAAACCAGCCACCTTCCAGCTACTAGTTTGAACGCTTGGATCTTTTCCAGAAAAGCCCCGCCAAAAAATTAACTTTCGTCACCCAGAAAAGATTGGAAAAAGAGGATATGAAATTCGTACTTTTATTTTTTTATTGAAGAGGGTGAAATTGGGGCATGTCATTATTTTATTTGCATGAAAAGGTCGGTTTTTCGATACCTTTGCCTCCAAACGGACTCACACAAGTGGCTGTACATTAAAAGATCGGTGTGTGCCACATTGGCGTTTATTCTTCATGTTTTAGACTTGCCAAAGTGCTTCGATGGTTTGTGTGTGAGCTCCGATCGTTGGATCCACAAAGTTCTCCGTATGATTAACCGTTTCATGAGTACAATTCATGTCAATCATCGTTTCAACTCCTTGGTATTATGCCCACATATCGGAGATGATGATTGAGCGGGGAGCGATGCAGGCCTGGATTGTGTCCATCAAAGTGGCCGCAGTTCGATCTGGCACTGCATATATGAACATCTCTTTAGTTTCCCGGCAGATCCCTCCGAAAATCCACTGCTGGGGGAACACTCGCCCTGCTTGGTTTCTACGGTATGAAGAGTAGAATTACTATCCCAAACTCCATTCTAGACCGCCCCAGCCAGTTTCCTTTCGAAGACCGATTTCTTGTCGACACTGTCGGGCATTACACCTCTACCTGTCAGGAACAGCTGAAAGTTGCTCGTTAGCTTGTTCGCTGAGCTGAGCAATTAGGTTTCAAACGTTTCATCACCAATCGAACTGACATCACCAGTGCGTAGTGGTGGGTTAGTGGTTGAAAGTATCATTTGGTGGCCACAAACGTTGGCATAAACGTTGCTGATGGATCACTTCGTGACTTTTGCAAAAAAGGTATTGGCGTCTCCTTGTGATGAACGAGAGTTGAAAGCGTCAGGAAGTTTATTTAAGGTTGTACGTCCGACCGGATAAAATTTCGCACAAAATAAGCCTAGGTGCGGATAAGGAATTGTTTTCATCAAAAATAAGTCAAAGCTGTGTGCGTACACTAAATTGTAGCTGGCAGAAAGTGGCGGTGCTTAGCTTTTCGCACACACACTTTTTGCATTAATGGCGGGGCTTATCTGGAAAAGATCCGGTAGCTCTGTGGTTTTCACACTCTAGATCGTATTGGGTCACGTGAGATAATTCCAAACAAACTAGCTTGTATTGTATAGTGAGTAGTAGTCACTCAAAGAGTCAGTCTATCAGCGCGTGACCACGTGACGCCGTTTCCGTAATTGGAGGATGAGTGGCGTTATAGCTTGTCCAACTGCGAGTTAATCGCACTGCTGATCAACCAATCATGGTCAAACGGCCGGCCCGTTGTGGATTCGAGACCGCCTGGGTTGTCATCAGAGAGTGTTGACGATGAAATAGTCTTATAGAATGGATTAGCTTCAAAAAATCGACGACGTATGTGGATTAACGCGCAACAAAATCACACTGACTTAGTCTAGGATGCCTCATTGTCGGGTCAAAGAAAGTGTTGACCTCGAACATGTTCTTACTGTTTCGAGAAATACACTCATTTGAATCATGAGGCGGCCTGTGTGCAGCACATTCAGCTGGAGGACATCATAAACGAGAGATTCAATTGAGTCTCCCGTGAAGACCAAATTGATTTTCAGGTGAGCGTATTTCTCGAAAACAGTCCAATTTTGGTTCGAGTAGATCATAAGGTTGACGGAAACTGTGCGCCTACCTGATGAGCCCGAAGTGGAAGGGCTAAACCGGTCGTGGGCTCTCGAAGAGTTTTCACAAACCTTGTGAGTAGTTTCCTTTAGGAAAAGATCCGAACACTTTACCGTTCGGTAGTTGTCGAGGGTTCAAATTGGCGTTCCATATATCAACTCTGGAGAGGAATCTCGAGAGAACGCAACAAAGCAGTTGCTTAGGGGAGATGACCTCCTCCAAAACAGCCTTAACTTTCTGAAGAAGTTTCAAGAAACTAACCAATTTCTTTCACTCCTGAGAGACAGTTTTTTAGACGTTTGCCCACCATCGTGACTGCATAAACATATTTCGTATCCACTTTGGTATATTGGCCTTGCTGCATCGAAGCCGTACATTTCCACCGGCGTATCGAACCGTCTCTCTACACAACGTCACACCGACAATTAAACATCGACTGGTGACGATGAAGTGGGCAAACACTGTATGACAGTCTCGGGTGATGCCTCAGTTTGATCGTACGCATTGCAATAGTCAAGTTCGGGATGGCTCAGTGGTTAGGGCACAAACTTACTAACCGGTTGGTCCGTGATTTGAACCCGACCCCAGAATCTCGACTGCTGTTGTCCAGGCTTGAGCCGTCCCGACATCATCTTCGTTCACGTGCATCTCGGGTGGTGGGGCTAGGCACCGGAAAGGTGCTGCAGTTGATCGACTATTATTACTCGACAAATGCACTCATTTGCATACCATTTTGGTCTTCACGTGGGACTTACTTCAGACCTGACTGATTTATGATGTTCTCCTTCGATTGAATGTGCTGCATCAGCCCGCTTCCCGATTCACTAGGTGGTGTATTCGATAAATCGCAATACGTTGTATACACGTAGCACACCACTGACAAGGTTACTGAAAACTCTTAAACAGCCCATGACTGGGAATACACTCATTTGCAAATCAATTAGGTTTTCAAGACAGACTCCTTTATGATATTCAATTGAGTCTCTCGTGAAAACCAAATTGATTTGCGAATGAGTGTATTTCTCGAAAACAGTCCAATTTGAGTTCAATTAGATCATAAGGTTGACGGAAACTCGGAGACAGCGCCTACCTGATGGGCCCCAAGAAGGGCGAAACCGATCGTGGGCTGTTGAAGAGTTTTCAGCAACCTTGTGAGTAGTTTCCTCTATGAAAAAGCCCATGACTGGCCTCCACATCAGGCACATCGGGTAAGACCAGTCCTCAAGTTTTCTCCAACCTTATGTTCTACTTAAACTCACAGTGAACATCATAAAAGCGATAGATCTAGCTGAATCCAGCTGAGTCTCACGTGAAAAAGGCGAATAGGTAGTTGTCTAATTTTATACGATTTTTCGCAGTGTAGATTCGTTTCGCTGAACAACTACTGACCAAACGAATGCCCAGCATGCGTACATGTATGTCCGAAACGGACATTTGGGTCAGCAGAGGTTGGTTTTCTGGGTGTCTGCGCATTGCAGATAACCCACAAGCGGTTTGCGTGTAGCTGTGTGTGGTGTTCCTTCCAAGACCGTGGTACCGATGCTAAAGGAATAAAATCAATGGACAATCACGCACCGGCCTCATCCATCAAATCTTTCAAGCCTGAGTGAGATCCCCCTGGATAAATAGCATGACAATGTTTTCCGAAGGATTCCCGTTCCCGCGGCCTTCAGAGTGTGTGTGTGTGCCCACTCAGGCAGCAAACCAGTCGGACTACAACTGGCACTGTGATCCCGTAGAATGACAGTACTGATTAGGAATACGAGAAGCCTTATTCTCGGAAAATGTAGTCTAGGAATGAGAGAAAGATATGCAGGTAATTCGATGGCGCTTTCACGCTGGTTTAGACTGGGTATTGTTGTCAGATATGACTCCTAATTCGTACGCAAGTTGCGCAGATCCAGGTAGCTGTCGTTGTGATCACCATCGTAAGACCGATTCGAATGATACGCTTGCGTTCGTCGCTAGATGTGTCGCGTGTCAGAACTCTTCTGACTTGTGAATGCCGTGGTTCGCCATTCCCATTTGTCAAGTGTTGTTGTATAAACAAATAACGATCCTAGTGGATACTACTGATGAGGCGTGCGAGTAATATGCTTTCTCGTAACTCCACTTCGCGTCTATCGGATCTTTTTGCTCAGGTTAGGTGTTTTCACCCTGAACCGGAAGATCGGAAGCTCTTATATCCATTTGGTGAGTACCAATCAAGACGATAGACGAGATAAATTACTGTTCTGGAACGGACACCCGTGGGTCAGGAACGATTTGGAACAGTTCCCTCTCCATGTGGCATACGAGATCGATACTGGATCGTGATCTGTCCAAGTCTAGCAGCAGATCGCAGATGGAGAGTTTCTGGAGCCGACTGATCCTTCCAGATGCTGATTCAAGGTACAAGGACTGGCAGTCGGACAACTAGTGAATCAACAGCGATTGCCAAACATTTCAACGACTATTTCTGGAAAAACGGATGGATATTTTTCTCTGTGTAGTCCCCCGATGAATGGGCATTTTGGTCATGTGTTTATAGACCGTTTCATCTGGAAAAGTTATTCGAGCGAGTGGACGAACTCGACCAGAAAACCGTGTGGTGAACCAGGAACCATAAAAGAAATACAGTTCTATTTTTTCGTCAAGAATATCGATGATTAGCAAGCATCTCAGCTTCCCTTGAAAGACGAGAGTACAGAATAAAGCCGGTGTGATTTGGTTTCCTCCCGGTGAATGTTACTTCCAGCTTGTGAGTAGTAAGGATATACTGATATTTCACTAGCAAATGTTTCCCACTACTTTTCCATCGCCATCGATTTCAAACGAAGACTTCGGGACCCATTTCTATATAGCATAGTTTCTTCCTTTCCAGAACGAAACACAAAGCGGTGCTTTTCCGGAGGTCCTCACAGAGGGTCCTGGTGGAAGGTGATTGTGGTCCCGAGTCAAAAAGGTTATCATGATGCTTCAAAGCTGTGATACAGTACACTGTCAGATTTCCAACCTGTTTGTCTATAGTAGCCAATGAGTAGGTGCTTTTTTGCCGCAATATCGATCAGCTATAGGCCCTGGTTCAAGGTCAAACTTCAGGGCCCAACTCGACAATCAATCGGCTTTTTGTGGGCGTGGCTTGTGTCTGGATTTCATTCCAGAACCGTGTTTCTGATGTAAAAACCTCGTGGGGACGAAGTTCCGCTTGTTCATTTGACAAATGTCTAGCATTTATTGAAAAGGGCACAAGTTCGAAAGTTAGGTGGGATGATCTTTTTGTACAAATTCTAAGGGAACAAATGATTTGGCGAGCTGACCTGAAAATTTATGAACGGTGAGTGTGTTCAAAAGGCGAATAATTTCGCTTCGAATCACGTGATCGCAGTGTGGAAGAGATGGCTTTTTCGGAATTCAAAGCTTCAAGTTCCAGATCACAAAATGCTGGAATGTCAGACATTTTTCTTTGGGTCTTGGAACAGAACATAGACGGACGAACAATTATATCATGGTCGCTAACGTCGCCAGAGTATTAATAGAAATACTACCAATAGTAAAAATAAGCACTCCTGGCAGCACCAGCGTGGAACTTTGATGCATCACTGCAATACAACATCGTCAGTTTACTTAAAGAAAGTCACATAACCGAGATGAGAAAGGCGGAATATGCAGTGGGGCCTAATGCTAACCCGACGCAAACATCCGAGATGCACATATCTCCAACATTCAGTCAAATAACTGACATCAGTTATACGCCATCATTATGAGCTTGAGAAAAAACTCAGTGGCTACGTCGCGGACTTACTGATTGGAAGGGGCGTGGTTCGAACCCGACCTTGCAGGCAGTACCTCGGCCCCCGTGCTTCCTTCGTGTGGTAAGGCAGCTAAGTACGAGAGTGGAGTCTATTATTTTATTCCTCATCAGTTTCAGTGTATCGCATTGAAACCAATTCTTTTGTAGGCAAAGATTCATCGCAATAACATAAGTCGTTCCCCGCTATTTACAAAATACCAGAGGCGGAAACATCTCACGAGTTACACGGATGTTCTTCTGGGGAGTGGTCGGTCGATCAAATGACATACGACGTATGATTGCAGAGTGGGTGTTCCTGTATTCTGCGGGCGTTCAAGTCTATCACACAATTTAACACCCGGATGGTAGTTTACTCAGACCTCCACCCGGAAGATATCCCCTAACACGCCCCACCGACGATCCTCAGTCGGAACCAAAGAACAGATTCACAATGACTTTCGGAGTTCAACTAGATTGACACTCAGATATCGATGTGGTGCGCCCTTATCGACCACTGGATCCGCATTCCTGAACCATAACGCTGGCAGAAAACGAGGAACGAACAGGGGACACAACTTACCTTGAATAACCAGAGTAGTTCTCATCCTCATCATCGTTTACCGACTCTACCGAGGCCGGTGGGTCTGTTTCCGTGTCCAAAACTATGTTGTCCATAGTAATGGATTGAACAGGGCTGTCACATGACCGCGGAAATCAGCGCATCCACACAGTACTATCTGTCCACCACCGTTTCAGAGGAGATGCGACCAAAGAGGGAGCAAGTGGATGTGCGCGGTATGCGGCCAAACAGCTGTAGAAGGATCCGAAAAAAAAAGCTGTTAGAAAGGCGGTAGGTCAATTTTTGTGGTTTATTAGGGGAAGCACGTTTGGGATAAAACAGTCAGCCACAGGTGTCCCTATTCAGTGAGTGAGTTGTACTAATTTCGCTTTTCCGAGAACACGAGTAGTTCCTGTCTGCAGCTTTATAAATAGAAGTCTTGAAAATAGGGGTCTGTTGTACTGAACAGTGATCAGATATGACAGTCTTTAGAAAAAATCTGAGTGAGAATGCAGAGAAGAAAACAGCAAGAGATCATAGGATTCTCAGCCCCCTGTACAGGTCTTAGTGGATTTTAGTATGCCGGTATTTGTGTCGCTTTGTAAAGTGCACAACACTTGCCCCAAAGCTGATATCAGTAAGCAGTTAGTCGGTTTTCCGTACACCAGGGTTGCTCTGTGGACCTGAGGATAGCGAGAAGTCACAGGTTGAAAAGAGTCCGTGTAAATTCATGAAATATTGCTGATACGTTACGACAAAGTGGATGAAAAATGTCATTTCTAGGGACTGTTTTGTGACTCCAGAACGTTTCAGACATCCTCAAGAGGCATGAAAAGCATTTTTAATCAAAGGATGATACTACTTGACTGTCGAGGGTGGAGGGTACAAAGCTGTAGTTCGACTTGTTCCAACTTGTGGATCGGAGACGTGACTACTTTTTGTGGGAGACCCACGAATATCGTCGGCGCCGCCAAACAATAGCTTGGATCCGGTAGGGACATCAGATCGTTGATGCTCCGGTACACCAAAAGGTTTTCAGGAAAGCTAACTCCCCATCAGTAGATCAGCTGGTCACACTCTGCGGATTACACTGGTTAGGCCATGTGTACCAGTACTGTGAGAATAAACCGGATGCCTTGTTTTGTAATATCGATCTAGAGGATATGTCTAGTAATTTGGAGCAGGTCAATGATACATCACACCGGCCCGCACCCTTACACATGAATTACAAGACCCTCACACACAGCTACTCACCATGAGTGACTTCGTTCCCCCTAGGTAGGAAATACACCTTCTCATTAAAGGCCGGTGTCATGTCATCACCGAAGATTACTGTAGTATTCAGTCATGTTATAGTGCCCACACGATTTCAAACCGATCAGGTACCGTCCGCGCCTCACCTACTATCGAAAAACGAAGAAATAACGACCGAAGTTACCGACACGATCACGTCTTCCGACAAGGTGCGAATTGTAACCTAATTGAGGGACCCCCTTTCATCCGACACCATCCACTTGCTAATTTCCCACACGTAAGATCATTTGTGCCGTCCAGCCGTTCGAATCTTTCTGACAGTTTTACAGGAAGTGACACGAGGAATGACTCGCAACCGAAATCGGATAACCATCGCCCTATCGAAACGCCGTGTGAGGAATGCGTGGCGACCTTTTTGGTCTTGTCTATTCAGTCTAGTTGGTATCAGAGAGGTACATCAGTAAATTCCACACTACCCTACTTTATCAGGAGCTTTCCAAAGTGTTGAGTGAACACAGCATGTCCTTCGGAAGACCCTGGTAGCCAGCACTACCAATAGGTTCCACAGTCGTGTAAGGTCGAGCCGTAATAAATGAATAGTTTGACAGCTGTAAGAACAACACAGGCATGACACGTAAGTATAGGAGTGAAGGTCATTTACGTTGCTGTTGCGCCAACTTCAGCACTCGCCAAAAACACATGAAGCAAAAACCTAACAGTGTAACTGACCCCACAGTTTATTGGATTGTTTGTTCTTCCCAGAACATGGATTTTGCTCCACTACCTCAGGATGTATCCTACTTTTCTACCACATAGTAACTGGGCAGACTTTGGGAGTCTTTGAAATCTCAAGCAAGTTTGCATGATCGGTGGGAACCAATAGCCTTCCGAATGGCGTTAACTCTCCATTGGAGTACAGCTGTGAGTTTATGGCATTCAAACGACCACGCATCTTAAGATCAACAGCAAAAGTGAGCAGAGGGCAGCCGCTTGATAGACTGGTTATGCAGAATTTCCGAACAATAGTGCAGCTGGGCGCTCCTCAGGCAGATTTGACTCCTAGATCGCCGTCCGCAGATTCACGTACAAGGTTCTAGCTGAAGTAGATGGAGTTCACGAAATGCCTGAGAGCTGGATAGTTGAGTAATTATACACTCTCCTAGACTTGGTCTTTGTGTTCGTCCGCGCGTTGACCCAGGCCAGATTTGTAGCTTGGGCGACCTGGACTCAAGGCAAACTCTACGTTTTGACGACGCAATTGACGAACGGAATTCTGTCAGATAATGTTGGTGTCCATCTCATATTGATGCTCGCTAGATTAGTTTTCCTGAAAAGATTCCCGAACGATGGATATGGATCCAAGTAGAGCATCATGCGGGCACTTTGTACCCTGCTGTGGGTCAATGAGGAGTCCTAGGTACAAAGACCACCGTAGGTATCCATAGATATCCAGAAAAAGTAATGTTTCGTTTGTTGTGTGATGAATATAACTTCCTGATGATGAGCAGAAAAGTTGTAAGCGTGGCACAATCTAGTAGTGGTCGAAATTAACCGAAAACCAAGCTTCACAAACACAGACTTTTTCCTTCCATGCTTGAGGATGGGACGAGTGCAGCGAACTGTAACTCATAGAACAAACCAATGTTTGGACTTATGCCAGAAATTGCTGTCTTGTGGCTAGACTTCTGAGCCAACCCTTGACTTGGCAGAGGAGTATGAAGGAGATCACGAAACACCTGGGTGCTGTCAGTGCTACTCGCCTTCCGGGACGGCGATCGCGTGATCCTCACTGTGCCTGGTTGGAGACACTACAAGATATGGCTGCCAACCGATGTCAGTGGCGTTCTTGTTGTCAGTTTCTATCAAGAATGCTTGAAGGAGCGTCTGGAGGTATGATTGTAATAAGCTGGCACTGTGTCCCTTTCCCGTCCACCTGTACTCTTTTCTTTACAACGAGGCTTTCAATTAAATCATAGTTGTACGGCGGTGAAGCATCGGCGTTGAACATTGATGTCATGCTGTCGATGACGGTGATGATGAGGCTTCTGAGCCAAGGACTTTGGTTGAGAACTTTTCTTATCTAAACATAGGTGCTACCGTAGCGTCCCAACTCACGTACAACCATGATAGGTCACAACATGCCACATCAACTGTCACGTGACGAGAGCTGCGTAACGTTATTTGCTGCATAATTGGGATGGATAAACAGAAATTTTCGAGTTCGTAGCTTCCTCAATTATTCTTTCTTAACTGGTCCAACTCCTGAACATCCTGGTTGTAAGCACGTCCGCCAAGTGCTAGAGAACGGTCTGACCGCAAGCAAACACACAAAGCCGCCAAAATGGGTCTAATAAGTTGAAATATAGAGGAAAATGTTGGTAGCTCAGGTAGCGCAGATGGTCGTTGGCTTGTTCGCTGAGCTGTGAAAGTTGATTTCAAACGTTCCATTACCATTCGAGGTGACATCATCAGTGCGCTAAGCGCCCCACTAAGCACTTTAATAACCCGCTGATTATGTCACCTCGATTAGTGATGAAATGTTCGCAATAAAATTGCCCAGATCAGCGAACAAACCAAAGACCATAAGCTGAACTCTTTTAGTCATACCGTTAATCAACCACTAGTCAAACCGGCTAAACAGAGGCTCTTACAGGCAATCCCAAACTTTTATCAGTCTCCGTTTGCACCATTTATGAAACTCCAAAAAAGCTCCAGACAGAATTATTGAGCTCACACATATCTCGTCACCTAGATGCCACTTCACGTAGTTCTTCAACTTCTGTATCTGGTCACATCGGCGCTAGCATCGGTCACAGCCACCGAAGTGGAGTTTTGCTGCGGCAATCGTCAGTCGTAATCACTTCCACAAAGTCTAACACCGCTTAGAAAAAACAGCGCTTTGTTTGTAGTTAGACGCCAAATATGTATGGCTCTGATTCAGAGACGACACTTTCAATCGAGAAATAAATTCCTAAACTCTGGAGACTCCAACACAAAGTCAGGGCGCTTCAATTTAGATGAGGCTAGACTTGGTGACATCTTTAGTTAGCACAAGCTTGACATATCCTAGGCCTTCGCAATGACCATCACTTACTTTTAAACGGTTTGGTTTTAAACTGTTTGGGTGCTAACTTACCGTCTTATGAATGTTGACAGTCATAAAGCCAAGTGCTTACACTGCTATTAGCTACCACTGATGAGGCCTTTTATGCAACTTCTGGTGATAGAGTGCATATGGCGGATCGGGTAAAGCTCCGGTCCGGGGTAGAGTTTCAATAAATCTCTCCGGTGAGATAAATGGTCAAACTCTCCCAAAGCAATAAACGCCTTTGGTACCAGTAATGAAGCAAACTTGTAGAAACCAACTGCGTTTTGCTTTGCAGCTTCCCCAAATGGCGGTAGTTGTAACTAGGAGAAGATTACTGCCAAACATAATGCTGAAAACTCAGCTTGCTTCGAAAGTCGCACAAGCTGACTACTAGATCTTAATCCTGCCACTGCTAGCCCGTATCTCAAGCGCCACATTCATAATAATCGTTCAGTTGTAGCACCTTTTTGGTTCCTAGCTGCCATACCACCCGGAGGAAGCACGAGGGCTGCGATACTGCCAGGTTGCCCAAGCCTAAGCAGGGAAAGTCGAGATACAGAGGTCGGATTTGAACCACGAACCTTCCAGTCAGTAAATATTGCAAGCCACACAAGCCTTTGCGAATATGGATGGATGGATGACACACAGACTACTGTTTACACGCATCCACCAAAATAAATTAAAGTATAACAGTCGTTCAGCCGTGGCCGCATAGCTGTCGTGAAACTCAACGGTTAGGGTACTGCTATATTGTCCAAAAACTAGATGGGGGCAATCAAAAAACCGGTATTGTGTTCGAATTACGGACCAACCGACTTGTAGCTTCGCTCCTTGGCCGTTGAGCCATATTATGCCATATTCATTCATTGCCATGATTCAGCTAAATGCAGGGTC